TAAATCGGGGGTATATAGCGTTCCGTTCGTCCGTCCTTCAGTCCGTCCGTCCTTCCGTCCGAGCTTTTGTACGGCCCATAACTTTTTAACCATGCACACTAGCTTCACCAAACTTGCTACACACATTTACCACAATGAGTACTTGTGCCTTTTGCTAGTTTGAAGATTCTGAACTTTTTAATTTTTGCCGTTTCCATGGAAACATTAACAAACTTAAACTTTTTGGGTGGGTGTTTTGTACGGCCCATAACTTTTTAACCATGCACACTAGCTTCACCAAACTTGCTACACACATTTACCACAATGAGTACTTGTGCCTTTTGCTAGTTTGAAGATTCTGAACTTTTTAATTTTTGCCGTTTCCATGGAAACATTAACAAACTTAAACTTTTAGGGTGGGTGTTTTGTACGGCCGATAACTTTTTAACCATGCACACTAGCTTCACCAAACTTGCTACACACATTGACCACAATGAGTACTTGTGTCTTTTGCTAGTTTGAAGATTCTGAACTTTTTAATTTTTGCCGTTTCCATGGAAATATTAAGAAACTTAAACTTTTAGGGTGGGTGTTTTGTACGGCCTATATCTTTTTAACTATGGACCCTAGCTTCACCAAACTTGCTACACACATTTACCACAAGGAGTACTTGTGCCTTTTGCTAGTTTGAAGATTCTTATTTTTTTAATTTTTGCCGTTTCCATAGAATCGTGGTGAAACAGAAACTTTGTGTAGAGTTTTTGTACGATCCATGTTTTCAATATTATGTATCCTAGCTTCAGCAAACTTGCTACATTAACCACTATGATTGTTTTGTATCTTTTATAAGATTCTGAAAGTTTTCTCTTTTGCTGTTTTCATGGAAACATGATGGAATTTAGAAATTTTGATTACTGGTTTTGTATGGGTAATATATTTTCATAAATTGTTTCCACTCATGTAGATCATCATAAGTATCTGTGCTTTGTGTTAGTTTGAATTTATGAACTCTTTACCATATCTGTTAAGGCTAGATGAAAATGATTAATTTATTGATTGTCACTGGAACTCAATCTGCATTTTTAAAACATTGAAGCTAAAATCAGTTAGAAATATGTAATATTTCATTAAGTAACATACTATTTACTATTTGTTGTTGACCAGCGGGAATAACGGGGGTATGTGAGCTTTGCTCACTTCTTTCTTGTTTTCAATGTGCTCCGATAACACTTTAGGTACATTTCTTATTGCCGAACTGTTGGCATTACATTCGAAACATACAAGCTGCAACTTTGTACCTCCAATTAATTATCCCAGATGCCATTCTCCGGATATTTACGATATTTTCCGAATGAAATAGATCTCGGGAGAATAACTCTGTTTTCTTTCGTCGGCGAAGTGAATAAATACCAAAATATGGTATTCTCACCGATTCGGACCAAAGCATTCAGGCATAAGACATACCTACAATATAATTAGGTGTGCGGTAAGATTTTTAGGGTAGGTGTTTTGTACGGCCCATAACTTTTTAACCATGCACACTAGCTTCACCACACTTGCTACACACATTGACCACGATGAGTACTTGTGCCTTTTGCTAGTTTGAAGATTCTGAACTTTTAAATTTTTGCCGTTTCCATGGAAATATTAAGAAACTTAAACTTTTAGGGTGGGTGTTTTGTACGGCCTATATCTTTTTAACTATGCACCCTAGCTTCACCAAACTTTCTACACACATTAACCACAATGGGTACTTGTGCCTTTTGCTAGTTTGAAGATTCTGAACTTTTTAATTTTTGCCGTTTCCATGGACACATTAACAAACTTAAACTTTTAGGGTGGGTGTTTTGTACGGCCCATATCTTTTTAACCATGCACCCTAGCTTCACCAAACTTGCTACACACATTTACCACAATGAGTACTTGTGTCTTTTGCTAGTTTGAAGATTCTGAACTTTTTAATTTTTGCCGTTTCCATGGACACATTAACAAACTTAAACTTTAGGGTGGGTGTTTTGTACGGCCAATATCTTTTTAACTATGCACCCTAGCTTCATCAAGCTTGCTACACACATTTACCACAATGAGTACTTGTGCCTTTTGCTAGTTTGAAGATTCTTATTTTTTTTATTTTTGCCGTTTCCATAGAATCGTGGTGAAACAGAAACTTTGTGTAGAGTTTTTGTACGATCCATGTTTACAATATTATGTATCCTAGCTTCACCAAACTTGCTACATTAACCACTATGATTGTTTTGTATCTTTTATAAGATTCTGAAAGTTTTCTCTTTTGCTGTTTTCATGGAAACATGATGGAATTTAGAAATTTTGATTACTGGTTTTGTATAGGTAATATATTTTCATAAATTGTTTCCACTCATGTAGATCATCATAAGTATCTGTGCTTTGTGTTAGTTTGAATTTATGAATTCTTTACCATATCTCTTAAGGCTAGATGAAAATTATTAATTTATTGATTGTCACTGGAACTCAATCTGCATTTATAAAACATTGAAGTTAAAATCAGTTAGAAATATGTAATATTTCATTAAGTAACATACTATTTACTATTTGTTGTTGACCAGCGGGAATAACGGGGGTATGTGAGCTTTTCTCACTTCTTTCTTGTTTTCAATGTGCTCCGATAACACTTTAGGTACATTTCTTATTGCCGAACTGTTCTCGGGAGAATAACTCTGTTTTCTTTCGTCGGCGAGGTGGATAAATACCAAAATATGGTATTCTCACCGATTCGGACCAAAGCATTCAGGCATAAGACATACCTACAATATAATTAGGTGTGCGGTAAATCATTTTCGTTGTCCACCGATCAGTCGGGAGACGTTGGTTGATGTACTAGTCCATGAGCCAGATCCTAAAACAACATAAGGCGGTACCACCTGGGGTGGCAAAATCTCAGTATGATTTCTTGAAAGTCATATATCCATTGATGAAAATACAACTTTGAAAGCAATTATCGAATTCACGGGACCAGATTTTGGGGTAGGTGAAACTCGAAAATGGAATAACTTTAAAGCAATAGTCATATGATGAAGTATGACCTGCAAAAAAATATTGGTAGCTTGATGTTCTACATGTTGGTATATAAGATAGGGCTAATACAGTTATCACATAAGTCACCAGAGGTCAAAAGGTCACGAAATTTGCCCTCTGCTTAAAATCTTACCACCTGTCAGAAAATATACTGCAGATACCACACCAATGGAACTTTCTTAACACAAATTGGCTATAATTGAAGCCAAGAAGTACTCAAGTCTGCTAAAAAACTGAAAAATTTGAATTTATTGTCTTTTGTGGTGTGGTTGGACTTCTTGAAATGTGTCATTATGCTTCGATAAAAAAAACCCACCTATTGGTAATAGTCATGTCCTATATGTATTCAGATGTTGGTTAAGTTACCTTTTGTTAAGTTGTAATTTGGTTGCCACTAATCCAAGATTAATGCCATGTAGTACCAAATATGAACTTGGTTTTAAACTGAATAAACTGACGTCCAAAAGAAACTTTACCAGAGTTTGAAATCACTCTTGCTCAAAAACAACAAAACATACATGCATGAAGTAAAGTGTATTGAGAAGATCAATATATCAACATAATTAACACTGAAAATGACAATCATACCGCAACCGAGAATGACGTCAGAGCCCCCCAAAGTTGGGTGTGGTACAAAACTCGAGCTTTCAGAATCATGGACAATAAGCAGAGTACATAAACAATTGCTCACGTTCAATAAAAAGTCTTTAGTAGCGTGTGTGACCACCAAATGCCTCAATACACGCAAAAACTCTTCTACGCACAGAAAAAGTCAGTCGTCTGATGAGGTCACGTGGGATTTGACGCCATTCTTCTTGGAGGGCCAAGATCAGTTCTTGCCGGTTGGCTGGAGAGTGTGGTCGTTGTCGAACACGATAACCCATCAAGTCCCAGAGGTGTTCTATTGGGGACATGTCGGGTGAGCGTGCAGGCCACGGCATGACGTTGACGTTGTTGGCTGCGAGAGGAAGTTAGTGACAATTCTGGCTGTATGGGCTCTGGCGTTGTCATGCTGATAAATTACACCACGTGGCTGCTGTTGGAGAAATGGTAGGACAACTTGACGAAGAATGTTATCCATGTAACGCTGAGCTGTCAAGTTTCCGTCAACGATGAACAGCGGAGTCCTCTCCTGCCCACAGATCCCTCCCCACACCATGATACTCCCTCCACCATATGGTACGACCTCCTGCACGCAACACGCCGCCGTTTGTTCACCCCTTCGGCGGTAAACGCGTTGTCTTCCATCAGCCCTAAACATACAGAATCGACTTTCGTCAGTGAAGACAACCCTCTGCCAGTCACGTCGTTGCCAACGTCGTACAGTCCGTGCCCATCTCAATCGCAGACGACGATGTTGCGTTGCCAATAGCTGTCCTCTATTTCGGAGGTGCAAGGTACGCAAGTACCGGTCATCATGGGGCGTGGTCACCCTGGGTCTGCCTGTTCTTGGCCTGGCAGCGGTCCGCCCTTTCTGTCTGTAACGTTGCATCAAGTTGGTAACGGCAACACGGGAGCAACCGAAGGTTCGTGCAATATGGGCGTGGGTGGCTCCAATCTGTACCATACCCAAGGCTCGTTCACGTTGTTCGACTGTGAGTCGTGGCATTTCTTTTGTGTGTTTTTTTATCACTGTGGATGTCTGACTTGCCGTTTCACTTTTTCGCGTGTTATCTCGCAAACATGTAACAGACGATTAATATTTATTGCATACACTATTGTTGTATTTAGGTTATGTGTATTAGATGGACTTCATCGAAAAAAAATGATACTTTGTCTGAAATTTATATTTTCAGTTGGTACAGTTTCTTGTGGACGTCAGTTTATATTACAAATATAACTCTTTCACATATACGTTGAGTTAGAATAAGAAGGAAAGCATCTGGACCTTTATTCTGCAAAGGAAAAGACAAACTTAATGTTTTGTACTAATGTTGAATTTTGAGACAATGACTGCTCCCTTTCAGTGGCTGCCTCAAGAGAACAAGACCAGGGATGTGAGCCAGGAGCACTTTGTGAGTATGTTCATTGAACCTTTTTATGAAGGAAAACGATTTCAAATATTTAACTCTCCTTAACATGTAGGAGCGTATAAATGATCAAATACACGTTTTGCAAGTCACATTACAAAAAGGTTCTCAAAAAGGAATCTGAGCAGTGTCGTCTGCTTTTCAGGAGGATAACTCTCATCTATCGTTTTTCAAAAGGGAGCAGTTAATGTTTTTATATGTGGCCACCATTGTTTAGGTCTACAATTATCAAGACTTAAGTTTCTAAAACTAATGTGATACAAGTAGTTTTTTTGCGATCAAATATTAATATTAATTATGCAACAGATATGTTATCGAGGTTAGCATAATCAATTTGATCCCAATTTGACCCCGACAAACAGAACAATCTAGCTTCAACAACTTCTGGCTACATCTAGCACATGGCCGTTATAATTTGGAGCTGAGAGCTATAAATTCATGTGAACTTATTTCAAGCAGTCCAACTTCATACATATTTTACATGCTTTTAGCGCATGATGACATTTGTTTTAACATTCATCAAAAACCGTTCTGTACAACACTATAAAAGACAAATAAATTTCACTTTTTCAGACACTGAATAGACTTAGGAAGTCCTTGGCTTCAATTATAGACAATTTGGGTTAAGAAAGTATCTGTCCCTCAGGAGGCAGGAGGTTTATATTTCTGGCTGTGGTCGCATGCTTTTCTCTGGTATCTGTCCCCCGCAGTGCAGCGAGATAGATTGCTGATCAGTCAGTTTCAGGATATTTAAACTGTCATTAAACCTGAACTATGTTAACAAGTTTACCGGCATCACATATCCCCTGCCATGCACAGTTAGCTCTATCGGACACTCGGTTGCCTATTATTTTGATACAACAGTAAATGAAAGTAAATCTTGGGAAACATGAAAACTGATGCTTCTTATAACGATTAGAATGGACTATTTTATTACTTTAGTCTTTCAGTTATTTACACTCAAAATTGTCTTTGTTATTGTTTGTAATTTTAATTATCTATCTTCAAGATGAAATATACCATATAAAGGGCGTCATCAGTGCAGTTCGCCAACAGTGTTATCAAAATAACTTTATGCACAAGTGATTTATATAATTTCAAGTTTACCTCTTCAGTTACATTTTCGACTCACCCAGGCAGCCGGTATAAATAGAGCTGTTACGAGTGGATCCATAACAGTATCCATCCATAACAAAGAGAGATCACACAACAATTTAAGAACAATGTTTTGCTGTCAGTAAATAAAATTTCAAAAGTCTTATTTCTAGCTAAAATATTTACCCATATCCCATCAAGCTCCAATGAATTTCACATCACACATAAATCCATCGAAATCCAGTTGATACATTGTGGTACAACCTGGGTTTACACATTGACTTAACACTTATTTCCCTCTAATGTTATCTCGAATTAATTGTGTGTTAAATAACTAATCTGTTTGTTGACCTTTGTGTTTGGTATGATCAGTGGTCTTGTGCTACTAAACAACAATCGGAATCTACTCAGGAGGGCAATTTCTTGTGTAAATCTCTTATAACTATTTATTGTTTCAGATCAGTTGCATTCATTGATATCATAACTGTCTTACCACCTTCACGAGGCAAGAGAGTTAACTGACTATAAAAGTCTAGTTTCCACCCTTGCCGAACTAGGCTGGTATTATAGAGTTACATTTTGGCTGGACTAACGAGTCTATGCATAGTCCAATCAAAATCGTGCACCGAAATCGAAATCCGGTTCGTAAACTGTCGTGCATATTTCGATCGATTGCAGGATTTGCAAAGCATGTGCACCGCCAACTCGTTGTCAGCAGATATTTTCCAAATCTTTTCATGTTTATAATGAAGATGCTCACGTGCTTTAATGCATTTCGCGATGTAAGACCCGTTTTATCACAATATAGATCTTGATTATCGATCAGATCGTCCTGACTGGGCGGCGCCATTTTGTTTGAAGCAAACGCAAGTGATACGAGAGGTGGAATCTGATTGGCCCATAGGAGAGGCTTAGAGGGGACATAACTCGTAATAGCCACTGGTGGCGCAACAATCGAGCCCAGTAACTCCAGCCTTGTTCGGCAAGGGCGGAAACTGGACTTTTAAAGTCAGTTAACTCTCTTGCCTAAGGAAGGTGCTGTCTTACCTGTCATCTACTCAACGTCAAGTGACAAAAAATTTCATTCTTTATAATTTCTATCACAAAACACATTACTAGCACTGTATACATCGCGACCAATTGCAATACGCCTGGCTGCTGTTGGGACGGATCCATTACCAACAAAGGGGTGTAATTATATGACTGTTGGCGAACTTCCCTGTAGGCGAAAGTAGACCTTACAATACAGAGCTGCAAAAACATGCTAGAATATTTCGGATGATTGCTTGGAAATACGTTCATTTGCAGATATGATGGAAAATAAACCAAAATTATAGTTCGAAACAAGGACGATACATGTTTTAATACAATAAAGTCTCAGTAAAGTGATGAGCTTAAGCGCAGTTTGTTGTCTTGAAAACTCTTATAATTACAAGATGAGTAGATTTGTTTGTGGGTATGTTTGTATTTCTCTCTTCTTGTGGAATTATTAATGCGCCGTCTGCTTGTCGTCTGATAGACATTAATCATCAGCTGTCACCATCTGCCATGGTCTTGCATAAGTGACAGAACAGAGCCTGTAAACGGAACCTACTCTGGTGACTTCAACGTCACAATATCTGCTCTCACCCCAGCAAATTCCCAACACTGGATGATATAGTAGTAATTAAATTCATCTTACCATGCATGTTTATGAGTTGTAATAATATGTGTTTAAAAATACGGTTTGTGGGCGTTAATACAATATACACCGACGCTAGTATATTCTAATCAATTCAACTGGATAATTGAATACGATTTCTTGTACATATAGCATTACATAACTACACATACTTTTGACAACCCGCGAAGATCAGGGTTAGAATAGGTCTTCAGCAACCCATGCTTGTTGTAAGAGGCGATTATGCTTGTCGTAAGATGTGGGTGGTCAGACTCGCTGACTTGGCTGATGCATGTCAGCGTATCCCAACTGCGTGGATCGATGTTGATGATATCAGTCACTGGATTGTGGCACCCGTCACAAACACATGCACGGACAAGTCTCATAACCAATCCACGGAAACATGATGGTACCGATACAGTGATGCCAGTCCTCACTATTGCCGATCATGAAAAACAGTTTGTGAATTATGTGCATCCAAAGCGTATGCCGCCACAGCGTATGCAGATCAAACCCGTCTCAAACACATTCAAAGACAAGTCATTTGATATCCTAAATAAACCACTGAAACATTATGGCACAAATGTAGTGGTGTCAGTCCTCACCATTGCCCAGCATGAAAAACATGGACGTGTATCAATAATATGTTCCAATCCCTACATTATAGTTAATATATATATATATATATGGTACATAGGCAATTGTATACACTGTCAAATTTATCCATACACTGTAGAGGTAACATTTGCCAATGCTTTTAATTACTAGTATCTAATGTTTAGTTTGATTAAATAATTATTAAGCACATTTCGAATTGTTATGGTTTTTTTCATATTATTCAGATTTAGACGTTCCATTTTTCTTTAGTGCGGGTATATTCGATCATTGTTGATATTTATTTGGTATATTCAATAACTTTTGTTGGTGAAGAGCACATCTAACGACATAGTGGAACTCATCTCTTCAGAAGGACGAGTTGCGTAACGTGAAGTCTTTGTCATCTTTCGGAATAGACCGTCATCGACCGGTCGCAATGGGAAAATTGTGGCTACTTATCGAAATTTAAAAAAGTGGCAGGTACTCTACTGCCCAGAAGTTTATTCCCCTTACACGCATGGGCAACGCGCGACACACTCATTAGAGAGGCAACAAACGTTTGACCAAAGGAGGACCCATGTTTATAAGTGCACTAATCTCTGACTTCTTCTCGGATGTCTGACACTGCCAATTAGGGCTCACTGGCTGCCGTAACGCGCGGTCAACGCAACTGAGCGTGACAAGAGACTGGGCTCTCGTCTGTTATGACCGCTAAATAAACTTTGAGGCAATATCTGTTTTACGCACTTTTTTATTTCAAAATTCCAGATTTGTTCTCACTACTAAGTAGGCAGCCCTAAAAGCCCCCCCCCCCCCCCCCCCCCCCCCCCCCCCCACACACACGCACACCCAGATTTTTTCCCCAGCAATCGTCATAAAGACAATTCTTATGTTTATTGTGCATTGCGCGCAAACACATCTCAAAATGTTTTTTGTAAACGTTTATCAGCAAAAATGCAAAGGATGCACGGATTGTGCTTTCATTGTTTTCAGCACAATGCACGTGCAAAGTGTTGGAAACAAGAGTAGAGACACTGGCTATAAAAGACCGTACAAAATTCATCAGTTCATTACGAGTTTTCTGACGTGAATAGAGATCGAAAAATGCCAAGATTAACAGCAGCTGACCGAAATATCGCCATGGGACGTTTGGAAGCAGGGGAGTCCCAGTTTGCCGTTGCAAGACACGTCAACGTTCACCAAAGCACCATATCTCGACTATGGGATCGATATACCCGCACTAATTCGACTCAAGATCATCCCAGAAGTGGAAGACCAAGAGTGACCACCCCTGCTCAGGATCGGTACATCCGGTTGCATTACCTTCGGAATCGATTTGCTACAGCAACGGACACTGCAGGGCAAGTGCCTGGTTCGGAAGAATTTCCGACCAAACCATCAGAAATCGTCTGAGGTAAGTGGGAATTCGAGCGAGACGACCAAAAGTTGGACCTGTCTTGCGACGTCTACAATGTCAACGACGTGTCCGGTGGTGCAACAGAGTTCAGGCACGGGATCTCAGGAACTGGCGACGCGTTTGGTTCAGCGACGGGATGGAAGATAAAGTGTATACCGACGTCGACATGAACTGCGTTCGACAGGTGGACCGATTTGGTGGAGGGAGTGTCATGGTGTGGGGAGCCATATCCTACATGGGTAGATCACAGTTAGTCCAGGGCAATCTTGCAGCAAACCGATACATAGACTAAATTCTGCGTCCTCACCTCCTCCCAACTTTGGACCGCCAGAGGGAGCTGTTCCAACATGACAAAGCTCGGCCCCACACAGCACGTGCAACATTTAATTTCCTTGTTAATGAGAACATCAATGTCCTTCCATGGCCGTCCAAATCGCCTGATCTCAATCCGATTGAACATTTATGGGACGAACTTGATCGACGCGTCCGTCAACGTCACCAGAATCCCCACACACTGGCACAACTCGCCAACGCCTTACAGGAGGAATGGCGAAGAATTCACCACGAAATAATCCGACGACTTGTGCAATCTGTGCCAGGGAGGTGTCGAGCAGTGACGGCTGCAAGAGGTGGTGTGACCAGGTACTTACCATGACGCCCCCTTGTGGCTACACATGTGCAATGACTGAACTGAATTAAAGCTGACAATGACGACAATGCTTTTGTCGATCACTGTGTGTAATTTCATTTGATTGTGTTCACGCATATTCTGTGTAGATACTTTTACATCTGCTTAATAAATATCCTTATTTTTTTACTATGCGTTTCTTTTTTTTGAAGAGTGTATAATCAGTGGTAGCAGCACATGGCATCTCTTGTGTCTGGGGTAATTATTTAATCTGAATCCAGGTTTGAAGTGGGGTGAATTGTATGTTATGTAATATGCACGTGGCAGCCCAGCAAGAGGAGTGATCAGTTGATTTACATTTTTGTAAGTCAGTTGATCGTTCCTCGCCTCAAAGGATCAACCGAAAATACTGTGATTGATTAATCACTGTTACCTTGCACAGTGGATTTGTCAAACGTAATTGTTTACATGTGTAGGTTTACTAAAGTGAGACGGAATACACCCATATCTGGGCGTGAAGTGCCGATGTAAAAACAAGATACTTTGTTCACAGGATTAGCCGATAATACGTTTAACTTCTTTGAGTGGCATTTAGAAGTTGGAATGATAATACGTTGATTGATTATTCATCTTATCTAACTATATTGGTTTTAAAGAACCGTGGACATTATGAAAATAGTTGTCATTATTGTTATTATGTTTATTCATCAAGGTCACGTGGGCCATCGACCCATGTCACAGCAGTTGTACAGCAGCCATTCTTGAAATTGAAATTTACATCAGCAGTTTTGTCCTTAATTGACTTATAAATATACATAGCCAAATTTCTTATGATATTACATTTATCACTTGACATGAAGACATTGAATTTATGAAATGTGGGAAATACATAGTAGTTTCTTGGAATGTACTGTTAACGCAATTCGGCATACACTTGCATACAAACAAGAAATGATACTCATCCTCAACGAAACCTTTTTTAAAAACATTGCAAAACCTTTCATTTCTTGGAACATTTGCATATCTGCCAGTCTCAATTTGGTGAGAACTACATCAAAACTTGGCTAAAGCTACACGAAACTTATGGATCGAAATATACTTAATATAATACTCTTGACACACTATAGATTTATACATAGAATAATTGAACGTTTTTGCACAATGTGACAAGGATGCATGCCAGTCTTGCTGATAAATACACTTTGCTCTTATAATAAATTCTGATAAAAATGATGGGATACTATCAATGCTTTGATTATCCCAAACATAGCCAAATCCCATTTTAAACAATACATTCTTCTTAACTTTGAAGCCCAATTGCTTTTACAATGACTCATATCTAACAATATCATATTATAGCATTTCTTTGTTAGTCGCGAGTCTAGTATGGATAGTAATTTATACCAGTATTTTATACACCGCTTGTAGGCATAAATATATACAGGGTATCTCCCACATTCACCACGTACAACATGATTTGGAGTTGACGAATTCACACCCAGAAAATATGTGCATGCCTGGACATGAACGCCTTCAATAACTCTGCTGAGTTTACAATCTGAGTCGATTTCTAGTCCCAATATTTCGGCACCATACAATACAATTTACATCACTTTACCATCTAAAACTTTGAAGAAAACATCATACGCAAGGGTCTAAGTTACGACAGATATTCTAAGATACCAAATAATGCCTTTCTAGATTGCAACGAAGAATTCATGAAGTGCATATTCCAGGTTAACTTACTAGAATATATTATACCCAAATACTTGTAAGATGAAAGACATTCAATGCGCTTGCCCTCAAAATACCATTTCACACCTAGAAAGGATACTACCGTTCTTAAAAACCACAACTTTAGTTTTATCTAGATTTACGTTTCGGTCATATTGATGACAATACTGTTGTAACACGTTAATTCGTTTTTGTAAACCACCAATAGTGTATGAAAAAAAGAACAACGTCATCCGCAAACAAAAGTAAGAATAAATTAATCAAGTCTGGATGCAACTGGATGCCAGGATAGCATGATTTTTCTACTTCATCAACAAGATCATTAATAAACAATGAAAATAACAAGGGGCTTAATACACATCCCTGACGAACTCGCTACAGTCAAACATATCTGAAACTAAAGTATTACATTTAACGCACGATTTTACACTTTCATAAATAGACTTGATACAACCACTCATTTTTTGGCGAAACTCCCTTGTGTCACGTGGGCTTTCTCAGCTGACCTTTGAGACTTGACACCTATGTGAAACACCTGAAACAAACCAAGTGATCAGTTGAAAAACGAACACAGGTTATAATATCCCGAAACGCTATATATATTTTAAAATATTTGATTGTTACAGAGACACGTGACATCGTATAAGTTTTTTTTGTATAGCTGCCTAAATGTTTACACATAACTTTGTTAGGTTGTAATTATGACATTTGCATTTTGTTTTCATTCATTTGCTGTTGCATTGAAAAGAATTATTCTTGTTTCTCTACGTTTTCGTTGGGAAGTTCTTCGATGCAAGACAGACGTTGTTTTCACGAACCTTTACCATCACCTAATTGCTTAATCCCTATGTCCATCCAATTAATCCACTGGCTTCCATCATCTCTATCAGTCTGCTTGTTGACTGTGTTCATTAGTCATCCACTGGCTTCCAGTTATCTTAATCAGCTCTCTGTGTCCATCAATCAATTTACTGTATAAACATTGATGTTAATAAGTATATGTACCTATGTTGTTTAGAACTATCCATCACTGGCTTGATAAAGGTGTTAGAATCTACACCGAAACGTTGCACTCATTGTAATAAAGAAGTTGTTCATCCATAGAACTCGTCTTACTTCATCACACCAACTTCTAAATGCCACTGAAAGAAGTTAAACACATGTACATGAGTCACTGACCTTGACCCACGTTACGTAATTTCGCCATCTTCAAAACTTGACTGACATGGTCAATTAGAGAGACGGGCCCAAATCTCCACAGAAGCGGGTCTCCGCACCAGGGAGATTGGCCACTTGGTCCCTGTGTGTGTTCTGTCACGTTATAACAACATGTACCTTTTCGACCTATTCCAACTCATCATCAATAAACACGCCTGCTGTCATCTTAAACTTCACCACTGAGTTTTGTCTTCCTTCATCACCCTGAGCTACCATCAAAGGGCCGAAAAATACGGTCTTGGAAAGAAATTCTATCCTCCTCTAAAGACGTCTTTTCTAGGGGCTCTTATTCTTATTATTTATATAATCTAGAAATTATGATTTAAACTAACAATTTTGCAAATCCATATATCGTCCAGTGGTCGGAATTTGCTCGGATCTGAGGAAAAATTTTAATGTTTGAAGTTTCCATTTACAGGCACTGTACTGGCCATTACGCAGGGTCATGATTAATGACAAACAGGTATAACTCATAATGCTACCATCACACCAAAGTAGTTCTACCCAGTTCTAAAAAAAATACTGAAAGGGGCTGTGATCACGGTAGAACCCGTAGTTTGGCATAAAATACGATACGAGTTCGTTCATAAGCAGTCCTCAATACTTTCTTATATCGTTCTTATCTCATCCTTAGCCAGTCTGCAGTCCGTTTGTATCCAGTTCAGATCGTGTAAAAGTGCCCATTCACCTCTTGCCGACAACGTTTTGAAGCAGTTCGAGCACGTCTGTTGCCGTTCTCAACCCGTTCTTAACCAGTTCAACCTCGTTCTATCTCGTTCACAATACGTCCAAACCAGTTCTAACTAATTCTTAACCCGACCAACTCGTTCGCACTACGTCCTCATCTCGTCCTTGTTGCGTGTGTATTCGCGTCCTGGCCCGACTCCTATGGATACCGAGCACGTTGTAGCCAGTCTTCATTCAAGTTCAGGGCTCCGAGCTGTACACATCATGCCTCCAAACAGAAGTCGATTCGGATAGACAGGGCATAGATAGATACAATGCCATGTTTATTGTTGAAAACGCGAATGAAACAACTAAAACAACATCGTTTCATATAGAAAACTTTCATTACAGCACAGCTTGACATCTCATGTACATTTTGAAATGATGTTATAAAGTCATTAGCTAAAATTCAACACCAAACAGTGTTTCAATCATGGCTCTCATAGTTCAATCGTCCCGTCCTGCCATGGCACCCAATAAGCTTTTTAATGCCTTTGTCTCTTGGCCAAAACAGTGTTCCTATTTCCTCCCTGTGGGACGTGCCAGTCTGCCAGGTTGGCATCTTGTCTCCAGACAATAAGGATGAGGTTGTGTGCAGCATCTTCGGCATCCACTTGAATGTTTTGAATGGCTGGGTTTCAGATACGGATGAGGTTGAGACGGCACATACAAGCTTCAACAATGGTCTGTACAGTCACTGGCAACAGCTGCATTGTTGACCAGAGGACTCTCCATATCTGGGCCAGAATGCCAAATGCATTTTCAACCACACGTCTGGCGCAAGAAATCCTATAGTTTGCAATCATTTGTTCTCTAGTCAGGTGATGGCCTGAATATGGCTTCATGAGGTATGTGCAAAGACCAAAAGCATCAGCTTCGAGCAGGAAATAGCAAAAGTCCTGGAAAAGTTGAAGGTGGAGGGAGTCCAACAGAGTCATTTTCTAAACAGACTGGCTTTCAAAACCATCAACATCCTTCCACATAAATTTGTAGTCAGCATCTACCAGGGCCATTATTACGACTGAAAAGAAGCCCTTATAGTTGTGGTACATAGTTCCAGCCTGGGAGGCTTTCTGATGGCAACATGTTTCCCATCGAGGGCACCACAGGCATGTGGGAGCTTCCAGCGCATGCGGAAATCCTCAGCAACTTCTCCCCTTCTTTCTTCCTCTACCATCTCAATGTACTCTTCCTTGGATAAAACCAACATTCAACATGTTAATGTATGCAAAGTTATCCATGGTTCTGGGCACAAACCTTGAAAATCTTCACGTCAGAAAACGATGTGCACTGCCTGAAATCTCAAACCCATCTGATGAACCTGAAACCCTAGCCGTATTTATACCCTAGCTTGTCCTATCGTACTTCAGACGGGGTGGTTGTAGTAAGAACTGCGTGAGAACTTCATAAACATACTCAAAACTAGGAGAACTTAATGAGAACCAACTAAGACCTTCATCACTTCAGGCTTTCCCCCACATTAAGCTGACACTCCGCGATATAAGTGGAATACTATACTGAGTCAAATTAAAAACTTATATATATACGAACATATATGATATACAACGGACAAATGTATCAGAGAAGGTAATTTTTAATGATTAATGTCCAAAGAAGGATTTCAATTAACGGTGGTAACCATAATTTGTTCCAAGCACCTACGGTATTCGGTAATAACATGAACAGTTTAAATCATAAGTCCCAAGCACGAGAATCTGATGGCACACAAGTTCAGTAGCGTGTATGGCCACCATGTGCTTTGACAACTGCCACACAACGCCTCCGCATGGATCTTGTGATGCTTGTGAACACATGATTGGGAAGACGACGCCATTGTTGCTGCAAAATGGTGCCAAGATCTTGCAAATTCTGTGGTTGGTTCTGAAGAGTGCGCAGACTTCTGCCAAGAGCATCCCAGACGTGTTCGATGGGATTGAGGTCAGGAGACCTTGACGGCCAGTTCTTGACGTTGACTCCCGCATTCTGAAGGAAATTCCTTGTCAAAATTGCTGTTTGGGGTCTGGCATTGTCGTGTTGGAAGATCAAACCGGGTGCATGTGCTGCCATAGAAGGCAGAAGTTCTGGTGCCAGTACCTGGTTGCAGTAAACAGCAGCGTTGAGGTTGCCACGGATGACAAGAAGCCTGGAACGTGCATTGCCACAGAAAGCACCCCACACCATGACACTTCCGCCTCGAAATCTGTCAACTTCCTGTACACAACACTGGGCGTAACGTTCATGACGGCGCCTCCACACCCTCGCCCTACCATCCGCAAATCGAAGATTAAATCGGGATTCATCACTGAAGATGACTTGATTCCAATTCCTCTGAGTCCATCGTAAGTGTCGCTGTGCCCACAATTGATGTTGACGTCTGTGTAATTGAGTCAGAATCAGCCAGCTGTAGACGCGTCTGTAAATCATAAACAGTCCGTCGACTACAACCCATCGTCCTTGCGACTTCAGCTACGGACGTTCCCGTCTGCAACATGCCGATGCCACGTTCACGTTGCACATTTGAAAGGCATGGCATGACAAATGGCCGTAAAGACTTTTGTTTTCTTGTGTTTTTCTTTTTTTGTTAATGACTACTAACAAGTATGGCTGAAAACACGTGCGGTATTATGGCCACGTGACCAGTTGCACGTGAAAAACCACTTTTGCCACTATAGTGCTGTGCACATAATTTGGATCGATTCACCTGCACAAAAACGGGTGTTATCTGAAGACAATATGTGGCCATTACTGTTTAAATACACAATAAGGGCCCACAATGATAACTCGTCAAAATGTTAAAATTTTAGGATTGTGAAGTTTTTAATTTGGTTCAGTATATTCAAAGCGGCGTTAAAACCCAACTTACTCACAAGATAAGAAACCTGTCAAAGCAATAAACCATGCAGAACTGTAAACTGCTGCATGAAACGGTATGAATCATACATTACATACAGTGAAAAACTTGAAACAATACTGTGCACCACTATGCACCCCAAGCTCCATACATGTGAGACCGCCTCCGTGGTCTTGTGGTAGAGCGTCCGCCCGGAGAGCGGAAGGTCCAGGGTTCGATCCCGGGCCGCGTCATACAAAAAGACGTTAAAAGATTGTACTTGTTGTTACCCTGTCTGGCGCTCGGCATTAAGGGGCTAAAACAAGGACTGGTCGGCTCGGAGTCAGTATACTGTGTCTGAGTGGGGTATTCATGTTAAACTGCGGCATGGTATCTCAGTGAGCTAGCACTATAAATCGGCATCAGTCCGGACTAGTACAAGCAGCCACACACACACATACACGTGCATGCACGTCGCTATATAAGTGCAATAATCTTGGACGCGACGTTAAACCCAATTTCACCTCACTTCACCATACATGTGATTATGAAGACAACTCATCACAAAACTCGTTGTTTTACATGAGTTGTTTATGAAACAAAGTCATACTTTATAGAAGTCTGGTATTTAATCGTGTCTAACAATAAGTTGCAATAGCAGCGTGAAGGGAAAAGATTGAGTGCACGTTACATGCTTGACCTGAATTGCTCCCTCGAACATATGCTCTGTCTGCCTGAATAACATACGATACATTGCAAAGATAGCGCAATAGAGGTGTTCGGGTAAGGGAGCTAATCAGTCACTCTCGGTGATACGGCTTGAATAAGATGTACAGCATTGCAAGGTCAGTGGGTGATGAAGCTGAGGTGAAATGGGGTTTAAAGTCGGGTCCAAGATTATTTCACTTATATAGCGACGTGCGTGAACATGTGTGAGTGCGTGTGTGGCTACTTGTATTAGTCTGGACTGATGCCGATTTACAGTTCTGGACTGCTGAGATACCATGCCGCAGTTTAACATGAATACCCCTCTCAGACACAGTATACTGACTCCGAGCCGACCAGTCCTTTTTTAAAAGCACCTTAATGCCGACAGGGTAACAACAAGTACGATCTTTTAACGTCTTTTGGTATGACGCCGCCGGGGATCGAACCCCGAACCTTCCGCTCTACGGGCGCACGCTCTACCATTATACCATGGAGGCAGTCCAGTGCATGATAAAGCTATATACTACGCCTATAACTAAAGGAGATAATCGCTCAATGCGCAATAGTTTATTTTTACAAAATGTAGACCAGTTAACTTTAGTTAAATGTATATTTTCCCCAAACGGTTTTGACTCTTTTAAAAACCTAATGAACAAATTGCATGAATTATCTGCATTACGAAACATGGCTGCGACACATAATGGGACAGGCGATTGGTTAAAAACATGTCCAGATGAAGTCACTCTCAGTTCATGCTACAGACTCCCTTCAGGGTGGGGAAGAATAACCAAAGGCCAGCTGCAATAACGGAGCTACATAACGGGGGTAGCTCCGGGCGATCGAAGGGCCAAACTGGACTTATTGTGGTATGAGCGCACTGACTCACGGGAATGTTTTTTTTTCCGTGAACACAACAAAATGCAGGCCCACAAGTAAATGATGGCAAATATATATCTTCTCTTGGAATGCCAGTAAAACTGTTTATTTTGTACGTACTTGCAATTGTATACAGTCTACTTGATTCAGTGAATTAAATTGCTTGTGAATATAAAACATGGATAGACCAACCAGGAAAGATATCGATGATGGTACCAGTTAAATTCAAAGTACAATAGAAAATAGTGTTTGATAATACTTTGTGCGTGATCAAGTACATGTCCATTGAAGTATTGTACATACAAGTAAATTTCATTATAATAAATAGGCGATGGTGTTAATTATGATATATCCTTACTTGTCATCGATGTCTTGACATCGGACAATGAACGATAATACGATATTCTAATTCAAGATATAAATAACTTCGTAATGGGAATGTGCCGGAAGTCCAAGAAATACAATGTTCGTAGGTAAAATTAAAAAGCTACTAAATAGAATCCAAATGGAGCCGAAAACAATGCTTTTTTCAGGCCAGAACTGAGGCAATATTGACTTGCCAAATCATTATTGACTTATACACTAAGTGCTTGATCTTGTACATATCCATTGCAGTAATGTAAATACAATTAAGTTTTGATTATAATAAATAAACCACAGTGTTAACTATGATATATCCTATAGAATCCAAATGTTGCCCAAAACAATGCTTGATTTCAGGGCCCAAACTGAAGCAATCTTAAATTGCCAAAATTAATCATTCTTGACTTGAGTTGGAGTTCTTTTCAGGTTTATATTCTGGGGTCTGGTAGACACACAACGCTGTGAGTATCGCATGGAGAACTGACCAGTAGAGAGAATCACGCTTGGATCAGCCTGGGCCAGTGTAATCGGTATCCTCCCATAAGTTACACGCCCAATTTGTCACACACCTTAAAACAACGTAGGTCACAGCTGAAGGCACTGACGGGTCTACCCTATGTTACCTAAGTATTAGAATGGAGTGATCCAAGAAAAGTAGAAAAGTAATCTTGTAATTTATGTACTTATATAAAGATATATATCTAGATATATCATACTGTAGAAACATTCTGTATTCGCACTGGTTGTAGCACTGATTAATTAATTGAATTGAATGTCTCTGAATAGTCTTTGTGTACTCCAACCCTGCATGGAAGCCTGCACCAAAGTCGCTGAAGAACAACTTCCCTTCAAACAAACACAGGCATATTTTGATAAATGAAACATCTTCATGTGCATTAATGGAATCCCAAATGTCTACTTTGTTTGCAGAAACCGTTTCACTGCGTTCTACATGTACATACATTTCATACATGATAAATTGATTTAGTCCCAGCTGCAAATACGAGTCCTTTTCAAATTAAATCCATTTGCTTGTTTCTATCTAAGTAATATATTTTCGGAGACAAAGCGTTAATCTAACCGTGAAGTACAACTATCCAAATATCCCATGCGAGTCTATAATTGTTTTGCTAGTCCATATTTCTTCAGGCGGGTGCCACCCGCTGAAAGAGGTGCACAAGCAGACTCTCTACATGTCCCTTCCGATTATGTATCAAAAGCCACTTAACTTTTTTAAATTAAATAATTTCAATTCATAGTGTCTACGGTAAATTAGAGGCTGAGGCTTGCTGAACAGATCATTAGATCATCATTTTTACCTGTGTTTTTTTCAACACTGGTGGATAGGTTATATGTGTATGTCTGCGCATATCCCTTGAGATCCTTTTGTGAAAACACATGTACTGATTCACAGGAACAGGCAGGAACATTCTAAACACGTCGCTTCACAGGCAGGCACATACTTAATACGTCAGTACACTGGCAGGAACATACTGAATACGTCAGTATACAGGCAGGAACATACTTAATACGTCGATGTACAGGCAGGGACATACTAAATCCGTCAGTACACAGGCAGGAACACATTAAATACGTCAGAATACAGGCAGGAACATACCGAATTCGTCAATACACAGGCAGGAAATACTAAATACGTAAATACAGACAGGAACGTACTAAATACGTGAAAAAACACCGGCAGGAACATACTAATTACGTCAGTACACAGGCAGGAACATACTAAATACGTCAATACACAGGCAGGAATATACTAAATGCGTCAGTATACAGGCTGGAACATACATAATACGTCAGTACACAGTCAGGAATATACTAAATGCGTCAGTATACAGGCTGGAACATACTAAATACGTCAGTACACAGGCAGGAATATACTAAATGCGTCAGTATACAGGCTGGAACATACATAATACGTCAGTACACAGTCAGGAATGTACTAAATACGTCACTATACAGGCAGGAACATACTAAATACGCCAGTATACAGGCAGAAACACTAAATACGTCAGTATACCGGCAGGAGCATACAAAATCCGTAAGTACATAGGCAGAAACACACTAAATACGTCAGAATACAGGCAGGAACATACCCAATACGTCAATACACAGGCAGGAAACACTAAATACGTCAATGCACAGACAGAAACGTACGAAATACGTCAATACACAGGCAGGAACATACTAATTACGTCAGTACACAGGCAGGAACATACTAAATACGTCAATATAAGGCAGGAACATACTAAATACGTCAATATAAGGCAGGAACATGCTAAATACGTCAATATACAGGTAGGAACATACTGAATACGTCAGTTTACAGGTAGGAACATACTAAATACGTCAGTATACAGGCAGGAACATGCTAAATACGTCAATATACAGGTAGGAACATACTGAATACGTCAGTTTACAGGTAGGAACATGGTAAATACGTCAGTATACAGGCAGGAACAGGCACGACGAAAGACAAATCCTGATTGTTACAACTAATGATTGGTGATATCAAAGTCATCAAAGATGCGATGTGGTTGGGGGACAGGGAAGTAGAAACCTTCTTTCACCATAGGATAACGTCGGATCATAGGTTTTCGGACATCATACGTTTTCGGACGCTCATGTTTACCCCGATTACTCGTGCTATAACATAGGGTGTGGCGTCACACAGACTTCGAAATAGTTAGATGATGACCTGTTTTTTAAGATAAAGTCGTCTTAATATGTTTGACAGCTGTTCTTGTGATTAGTAAGAAAGCTACGAATGTTTCTTAAGTGTCCGAAAACCAATAACACCGGTATAAATATGAAAAAAACCAGGGGACTTGCTTGTAAACAAACGATGAACATTTAATCCGGGTGTCTGCTTAGCTGGTGATGCAACTGGTTGTGACGTCCGTGCGTAGGTGACCTGGTAATATGTATTCCCGAGACTGGATAAGAAACTTTACCAACATAAGGATTTACTATATTGTTTACAGATTAATGTCAGGCAAGATTTGAACAACACGTGTATCATAGTAGCGATTTTATGAATGAGAGTATGAAGGTTATATCAATTGCAAGTTTGTTTGTTTGTTGTTTAACGCCGCACTCAGCAATATTCCAGCTATATGACGGTGGTCTGTAAAGAATCGAGTATGGACCAGGCAATCCAGTGATTGACATCAAGAGCATCAATCCACGCAATTGGGAGCGATGACAAGCATCAACCAAGTCAGCGAGCCTGACCACCCGATCCCGTTAGTCGCCTCTTACAAGCACATGCAGTAGCCTTTATGGCCTTTTATATGTACCTATTTTACCCCGGATCTCCAAGGGTCCAATAGCAAGTAGTAAATTGGTTTTTATATGATTTTTTATATAATGTTCTATCCATATAGGAGTGGTACCAGGTTGATGATAATGAAACGACTTGGTAGTGACAGCACTGCCCTTACGTTTCGGCTGCCATTTAGGGAGGTCACTCTATCTATAAATACGAAAGAGTTGCCTTTCCTTTAAGACCTTCGCACCAAGCTCCTCACAGCGATACCCCGTTCGCGGAGCTCTTTATACTATGTTACCGAGAGTGTAACGAAGGTGTCAGGGGCTTTGAACAAGGAGCTTGACCTTCGCATTCAGTCGTCTACCTTTCAACTGCAGACATTTGCGAAGACGTGTAGTCAGTCCTGTATCATGGAGCCAATAAGGTATGGTACGTATGCTGCTACAGCTTGACATGCACATGTATTACTACATCACCATTCACGGTGTCCTTTACTGTATTGTACTTGTAGTGATCATTCTGAAACGTCGCCCGTAACCCTCGAATTGTTCATAATGTTTTAGAAAATACGCAAACACGAACGCCGAAGTGACATTTCCGCCATATTGGACATTGAATACAAAACCACATTTCATTGTAGGCCGGTCACATGGGACGCCTACTATATAGCATCATCACGTATATTTCAGCAACAATACATACATCCCTGATTTCCTCATATATATTAGAATCAAATGACAAATGGTCTTTGTCACCAATACAAAGTGTCTAGATGAAATCAAGCGAAATATATTAGGTGTGAAATGAACGCTGTGCTCGGTAAACTGCACTTATTTGAATTGTGAAGAAAGCTAAATTCATATTTTTACACTGTGTAGCATTTCTCCTATTTTGAGACACCCATTTTATTGTAGACATTAGCTCAATGTTTTTAGAGTATGCCAGGGAAGAGTATCGTAGCAAGAATTAGGGAATTAAAGATGGATACATTACAATTACTTGGTAAATGCAACAGAAAGAGTCAAAGTTTCGGTACTAAAGGCGTTTCTGACTATTTTTCTTGGATACAATGGATAACATAATATTTCTGGTTATTTACAAGACAAATTTATGTATATACGATCCCTGAATCAGCGAAAGTCCCCTGGTAAAAATCCGCGTACTGATGTCATCGTTAGTGATGTCATAAGTCAACATTGTTGAACATATTTGGTATTTGTTTTGAGGTGAATGAAAGTACACACGGTCATTTATCCTGCTGCTTACAGTTACCATCGCTATATGATGGAGATTTAGCGGATGTTTTACATATTTTTTCACAAAACTAATTTCATGGATGTTTATCAATGTTCTCAATAAGATGTCACAGGGCTCCAGATAACTTTTTGAGCAATTGAGTTTTTTAGGGTTTCTATTTTAATTGGGTTATTGGATCTATATTTCTCAATGGGTAACCAATATTTTTTAACTCATCTGTTCATCACTCTATTTAGGTTTTACTCAAAATGAGCTAAAATTTTGAGATTTCAAAAAAGATTTTTTTTTTAGATATATATAAGGGTTCTAACTAAAGACTTGACTTGGAAAGTAAATTAGCTCGTAATTGTTGCTTCGGAAATTAGCTCCATTGTATGCATGCTGAAAAAGCTTCATTGGGTATTTACACATTCTGTTTTTATACATTTGAGTTTGTCATTTAATGCATGCGTTTCTGTACGCAAGTTAATTGAAAGTTATTGGGTTTTGAATATTTTTTGGGGGTATTGTACGCAAACAACAGCTAATCTGTAGCTCTGCTGTCATACGTAGATAAAGGCCATAACATTTATGAACCATTGATAACATCCTGTTGGATTCAACACTGTTTGCATAGGATATTGTTGTATACGATGTTTCTTTCCAATAGAAAAATGTTCGAAATGAATTGTTAATGTAACTGCAACATGTACGTATTTCTTGGGAGTGTAATAGTCAACATTGTAATTTCATATAAACAGGTTAATGAATAGCCGTTTCATTGTATTTTAAAACTGAAACTGAATATATTACTTTAACAAAATGGAGGTTTGTTAAATATATATAAGTACACATTTTTAGAAGAATTTGTCTTGGTCTTGGTTTGATTTACTGAAACACTGATGTCGAACGATTCGCCAGGTGCGCGTTGGTCACAAATGATTTGCGAATTATACCTGTCGTTTAATATTATATAATCAATCAAATTAAGCTGTTTACTATGTTTATCTAAAAAAATGTAATTCAATCAATCAAGTTTATTCTCCAAACCACCAACCGTGGTACATGAGTTTATAATTTACATTATACATAGTACAGTATTCATAAAAAGATGGCAGATGTATGAAAAATGTTCTATTTTATTTTTTTTCAATTTTACTAAACAGTTGTAAAAACAATTAATCTGACCAAATTTTATTAGGTCTTTAACGTTACGTACGTTAAGTAATGTACACATTTTAACAGGTTTGGCCAGATGATAGATTTATTAGGAATGACGTCAATTCTTTGATGGAGAAGGGCTTCAGATCTAATATGATAATAAAACTTGTCTCCAACTGCAGTAGAGTTACATAATTGGCGATGTCGATCTTCTCTTTGTACACCACGTCATCGGCCAGTCTCGATGAGTAAGTTATGAGTTTTAAGGAGATTATTACGTTCAAGGTTTTGTTTTAACTTATAATGTTGATAATGTTGTCCCTTAGGTCTTGAGATGATACTATTTCTCCGGTTTTTGTAAGAATTGGTATTTTAGTATGCTTGCCCTAAAGGGCGACTATGCTTGTCGTAAGAGGCGACGGGATCGGGTGGTCAGGCTCGCTGACTTGGTTGATGCATGTCATTGATCCCAATTGCGTGGGACACAAGAAGTACAGATGGATTTGCTCTTAATAACTGTTAGTCCATGATATACATAGTTGCATGCGAAACATATTATTCTCTATGGTGTTTATCCCAATTCTGGTTGTTACATTTCTGCAGGTAGGGTTACTTTTAGCATGTAGGGTTACTTTTCTGCAGGAAGGGCTACTTTTCTACAGGTAGGGTTACTTAACATATTATTCTCTATTGTGTTTATCCCAGTTCTGGTTGTATCACACTGTTACATTTCTGCAGGTCGGGTTACATTTCTGCAGGTAGGGTTACTTTTTGCATGTAGGGTTACTTTTCTGCAGGAAGGGCTACTTTTCTACAGGTAGGGTTATCACTGCAAACACGAAAACGTCGTTTTTTCCGTATATGGTCATTGGACGGAAAAACGACGTTATTTGGACGTTTTCAAACCATCGTTTTTCCGTCCAAATAACGTCGTTATTTGACATCGGAATTTACTGGGAGAGAACGATAGCGTTAAGCTCCTCCCTTTCTTGATTGACATTGTCAATCAAGCAACAGCGTCTACCGGTGTTTCTACTTCTCAGATTTCATTGGTCAGTCCCCGCGTGTTAGATTACAGGCCCGCGTTTGACGCTGCACTCGAAGCGCTTAGCGGAAGTACTGAAATCAATCGTTCTGCGCATGCGGATTACTTAATGCCTTGACCAAATTTTCCGTTCTGTGCATGCGCGATTTCGCGTATTGTTTCCTAGATTTAATGTCACCACTATTTGACAATGTTTCATAAACACAGTCACGTGAAGGTTCGGAATCGTAACGAGTAACTCCATTTAAATTGAAGAGGATCCCCATTGATATGGGAGATTCCAAGATGAAACTATTCTATGGCTATCTAGGCTGCCACCCAAACCGATCTAAACGGGACCCTATAGCTTATTGTATGCTATATAGTCATATGGAAGTGGACAAGAACTATACATTATATTCCGGCCGATTGTTCTTGCATTTAAGTCAGGAAAATGGACTTAAAAGGGGAGTTGTTTAAAATAATTATTTTAATTATTCAATGTTGCCTATACACTAATCTGGACGAACTTCTCATTGTTCTGTTTATGTCATCCTATATACTATTAGTATGTTACCGTTCTAAAGTCAACCTCTCACATAACATTATATTGTTCATAGTATCAAAGTTTAATCAACAATATCAAGAGCAGCGATTTAAACCACTGAAACACCCAAACACAAGGCTGTTATCAAGCGCTAGTGCAGACGTGATGCATCGTAAAAGCTGTATCGTGATGTCTTCAGAAATTCAATTATACTACGAGATAGTACGGCTAACGCTGACTCACCGGTAGAACAAAGACAATATCGCTAATACAGATATAACGTATTTGAATGTTAATACTAAAGACAAACAATCATTATTTTTGCAGTGACGATATAACACGTATACACGTTTATTGTTAACTTTCATCAGTTTTGCTCTTCATTTTAATAACTTTGTTTTCACATATATATGTAGCAATACCCGACAAGCATGTCATACATAATTATGGGGCAGTTTTCAATCTTGTACTGACTTACTCTGGTGTTAATGAGCGAAGTTTATTGGCTTGTGTGTAAAACCCCGTTTTTCTGGTAATCCTATTATTACTTAGTTTATTTCTATCTAATGACACCATGTTCTCTGGATCATGGCTCCGTGACTATCCATAACAGTTAAGATGAACATTCAGTTCAAGTAAATGAATGAGTTTGTTTTGACGCTAAAGTCAGTCAAAAAACCAATGATGTGAGGTTTGATAACACACTTCTACCAGGTCGAACATCGTGGATCCTCATTTTCTGCCTAAAGAGAATCATAGTTCATATGCTAATCCATCTGCGAATACCCTCCCACTCAAGATGACCTTACATGTTGCTAAATCTACCATCTATCCCCCCAATCTCACCCCCCCCCCCCCCTCTCACCCCGCACGCGCACACACGCACACACACACACACACGCACGCACGCACACACACACACACACACACACACACACACACACAAACAACTGACCTAAATAACCTCGACAGGAAATACTGCTGATAGCCTCTGGTCAACTCAGCCGCGCCACCGCAGAATGTTCGTCCAACTCTGCAGGAGGCATTCTCAGTGGCTTCAAACGCGCTGAAATGTTTTCGCCTTTGCATCCAAGATGGCGGACAAGTGAAATCATATGAAATTTGGCTATTTTAGGTCCTATCTCTTTTTTGATTACCCAATAAAGTCAATTCATAGTTACACGGTTGTGAAGAAGCTTACAACTTTATAAGACTTATTCATCTCATTCCAAAAAAGCTACTCGCGCTCACATAAAGTTGTAGTTATTATGTCACTGTTTTATTTCTTTAAAAATATATTACATGTTCAACAATAACAATTAAGATGAACATTCAATTTCCGATATAAGTAAATGAATAAGTGTGTTTTACGCCACAATCAGTCAAAGACCAACGTTGTCCGGTCTGATGACACACAATCTACCAGGTAGCACATTGTGTACACCCTATCCCCATT